GTAAAAACTCGACATAAATTTTTTGCTACATATTTAAAATTAAAAACTGGGTATAATTCTTGAACATATATTTTTGGCAATTTAAAAAATGGATATACACAAGTTTTTGGCCATTTAAAAACTAGACATAAATTTTTTTGTGCAATTTAAAAACTTGACATCAATTTTTTGCAATTTCAATATAGTTTTTGAGTTATTTAAAAATGAAATAACTTTCGCAAATTTAAAAACTGGACATAGATCTTTAGTAATTTAAAGATTGGGTATAGTTTTGGACATCTAAATGATGGGCATACTTTTTTGATCATATTGAAATTGGACATAATTTCTTGGCTTTGTACAAACAGGATATAGCCTTTTTGGAAATTTAAAAAACTGAGCTAAATTTTATTAATTTAAAAATCATAAGATCAATTTTTAGGTATTTTAAAATGTGTTATTCATTTTTAATCATTTAAAGATGGGCATAATTTTTTGGCTTCATATGTAAAAACTAAAATCGTATGGTTTTGCTATCTGAATATAAAATACGATTTTTGAATTGCAAAAAGTGAACCGCCGTTTATTTCCACATTTCTCTGTACGGTTTCTGTCTAGTAGGGATGTTCAAACAAGATCGGTTTATTTAAAAACCAGGTTTTTTATATTTGGTAAACCAGCTTTTCCAAGCTATTATTTATTTCCATAGGTGTTAATCGTTTTTTCCTTCTAAATCGAATACCGAAAATTCGGTTTTTACATTCGCCAGCTGAGTAACATAATTATTTTGCATATATTCGAGATGAGATTAAAATTTTATGACATACCTAAAACTTCCAAGTGACGACTAAATATTTTTTTTTTGCTGATTTGGTAGTTAAGCAAAGTTGACTTTGAACATTGTCCTTGACTGTTAAAAATAAAATTATGGCGCTTACATATAAATTAAAAGAAGTTCTGGTTTGTTAACAAAAGTTTGTTTTTGAATAAATAAATATATCAAATGCGGCATTATATTTTTTTTTTTGGAAATTAAGTTTTTAAATAACATTTTAAAAAGAAAAAATAATTTTCTATCCTTATACAATAAATGTACATACATACATACAAGTGTATGCGGTTTAAAACCTCAATAAAAAACCTCGATTAATCGAAAACCGATTTTTTGGTAACGGTGCCCATACCTAGTAGCCTTCGACTGAACCGAGTAACACCCCTTAGACTAGAAACTCCACAAAAAGCTTGTCAGGTGTATACCGCTTTTCAGGCTTTCAGCACTTTATTCAGCCACATATGAGTTTTGTATTGCGTTGTGTGCGCTGAAAGCTATAGCGCCTAAAAGGCTTGGTGTGGAGTTCTACTCTTAAGGCTATCGAGTCGGCAGCCGCGCTAGTGGTGGATGAGAAAGAGGAAGGACTCGTATAAGTCAAAGGGGAAAGCACTTGATCCTAGTTGCTATTTTTATTGTTGGCGTCTTTTTGCACTAAAAAAGGAAAAGGAAGCTAGCATTGCGCTCTGGTGATCTCAGCTAAAAGCGCTTAGCTGTTGTAACGTTGGTATGCAAAATTCGAAAAAACCACCAGTATCAACTTGTAGCTAGTACATATGTATGTATGCCCTTACTTATCTTCTTTATGGCGCATCACCAAAAAAAGTTGGGGGTTTTTCCATCGGAATTAATATTTCGCAAATTTATTAACATTTAAGTGAGCTAGATCTCAGACCTTTTAAGCTCAAAATCTTCTATCATCTGAACTGTTTAAAAAAAAATATATATATATGTGTAAAATACTTATTTTATTTATAAGAACCTCCATTTTTGAAGGTATTTTCATGTTAATCTTACTATTTTTCCGAAATATTTTGTTTGAAGTAGAGACGACCGCGGGACTAAATATTCAATCGCGATCCCACCCATCTCGACAGATTTGTACCGCAGGTCCCATGAGTCCCGCTATCTATCACTAAATAAAATTCACATGGCTTTCAAATTGATTTTATATGCAATATCTTTTCCTCGAATATAATATTTTTGTCATATGAAACGATCTGAAATCTGCTGGTTAGTCTGTTTTGCTTTGTCTTTCGTTTTTGTCTGAACATAAAATTAAAAAGCACTCATTTCATACAAGGTGTTTGGAGGCTGCGGGTTTTATCGAAAATGTCGGCAATGGATTTTTCCATATCGTCGGAAATTTATTAAAGACCTCCCCGATACCACCCAACCCGGCTATTTTAAAATTAGCCCCGCGGGTCACGGTATCCCGTGCCCATCTCTAGTCTGAAGTCTTAAAATATAATAAATTTCATATTTCCCATGGAGAACCCGTACCGATTTTTGGTATGGAGACTGATGCACCCTAATGCACATACATACGTTGTATTTTTTTTTGTACTGTGCATGTTAATATTTTTCAATTTCTGCGGTTCGGTTCTAAAACTTTTTAATAAGTTGAAACTCTAAGCGGCTTTTAGAACCGACGAATGCGAATGTATACAAACACGTCGAAGATGGATGAGAAGTGGTCGACGACTCTTCAATAAAAAAAAAAATCCATAAAAAAATTACAGCAAAAGCATGTAAGCGAATGCGAGATCAAGCATTGGTCAATTCTTTAATTGCAGTGATGATCGCCAAGCCGAAGACACTTGAAGCGCAATAGCCTAAGTTGGCTTGTCGCTGCCAAGAATTCTGCGCATTGCCGCATTTTCGCAGCTGCGAGTGCGTACATCGAACTAGTGGAATCTAATATGTATGTATGTATGTGAGCACAGAGAAGCCGGTTGAAGCAAGAGTTTATGTTTAGAAATGTACATATATGTATGTTTGTATTGCCAGGTATTGCAAAGTTACATCTTTCACTCACTGCCGGAGATTCTGCGAGCGCGAACTATGTAACTCGCATCCGCAACTCGCCAATAAAATGAGTTGGTTATTGCACTTGGCCTTATTTGTTTGGCTAACACAGCGACTTTGGCTTTGGCTTTGATTTTGCCATTGCCATTGCTATTACTACGAATATGAACGAGTATTGCTTCTTTATTGTGTTTGCTATTGGCTGGCATTGCAGCAGCTGCAGTGCGACACCGCTGTGCTGTGAATGTGTGTTTTGGTTTGTTGGGCGGCAGTGCGGAGGCCGGCCGGTCATTTGGCTGGCTGGTCGTTGGGTTGGTTGGTTTGTTGGTTGGTCAGTCGAGCGGTCGTTAGGTTGTTTGGCGCGTCGACTAGTCCAGCAGCAGTGTCAGCATACAAGCTACGATTTACGACCATTTATGACCGGCGCTGAGCCACAAGCAATTGGCTAAACGCATGCAGCATACTGCTGGCCTGCTGTTGCAAGCTGATGCTGTAAGTCTGTGGCAAGAAGCTCTAGGCTCTGTGGTGTTGCATGCTGCTTGCAGTTTTAGTTTTCCACTTTCGCGCTTATATGGATGCGTGGCTGCCACTTTTATTATTTCGTTTTGATGTTCTATTCCAGATTTTTCGCAATTTATTCTATTGGCAATCAAGTCGGTGTGCTGCTGCCACTTCAAAAGCTGCTTGATCGTAGTTTGTAGTCTTGTTTATGTGTGTACAAAAAAAAAGCTACAAATTCATACATATATATAGATGCGAGAATTTTATGAAAAAAAAACAACGCAAAAAAAGAAAAATAAAAAATGAAAAGAAAAAGGTAATAGAAAAACATATTTTTTTGCAACTCCTTTCTACTCTTGATGGCTGCCACTGCGTCTGCGTCTGCGTCTGCCTCCGCTTCTGGCTTTCTTCGAGTTGTTGCGTATTTGATTTGTGTGCGTGCTTGAATTCTTTTATTCACCTTTCAAGCGTTGGTCTTAAAGTGGACTTTTATGTTTGTAAGCTAAATTCTTGGAAATTTTTAGAACAACAATTAAGTGGAAATATTTATTGTCGGCTTGTGTACAACATACATAGAAATCATATAGAAACATTTCCTGCTTTCATTTGTGCGTATGATGCATTACTCGAGAGATTTGCGTTATTTTACTGGATGTGAATGTGTGTATGTGTATGGGCACACCTATGTATAAACGTAGTATATGCAGTTTTCAGCGAGGTTTATCGCGAAAAAAATATGTATATTTAAAGGCCTCTTTCATTCCACAAAAAAATATATAAAAATTTTATTTGTTTTTTGTTATTTTTTTGGCCTTTTAACAATTATATTCAACAATTTTATAATGAGCTCGAGGCCATTTTTTAAATGAAAATTTATTGTGGAAAAGCAACAATAATTTGAAAAAATGGTAGAAGTGATAGCTATTTCGGAAATCACCACATTTCCTCATCAGACTTCTTTCAGTAGGATTCGAACCGACGATCCCACTGACTCAGCCAGTTGCCTATGCACCGTGCTAAGNAGCTATCACTTCTACCATTTTTTCAAATTATTGTTGCTTTTCCACAATAAATTTTCATTTAAAAAATGGCCTCGAGCTCATTATAAAATTGTTGTATAAAAATTTTATTTAACCTTCAAAAAGCATTAATTTAAAAGTTTAAATTTTTAGCCTAATCCGGTTGATAGGGATTAATCTATCAGAAAATAAAATGCAAAAGAGATTGCAATTTCTTGAGGTCCGCGGGCGTAAGTTACCTTCTGACTGAGAACTTTATAAAATGGATGGGGAATCTACAAGTCCGAAATTAGAAAACCTTTGCTTTGCGTGAGAACGTATGTATATGTGTGTCATTAATCTCGCTAGGATTTGCGCCCCCGTGGGCATGGGACAAGACATTGGACTATGAGCCGCCTTCCTTAGCGGAAATCTCTTTAGGGTAATTGCGTGGAGACTGCGCGCTGCTTTTTCTACTGCGGCTCACTTAACGAAGAACATCAGAATTTTCTAGTTAAAGTTTCAAAGTTTGCACTAAACAAAAAAGATAACTCTTGTTGAAAATATGAAAATTGTGTGTATTCCAAAATTGATATTTATTTAGGTACTTTTTAAATTTTATGTATTTTCTAAAATTGTTTCTTTTATATTTTTGCTTTTTTCAGGTATGCACCCCAGTTAAAAGGCTTCGGCTTATTGAATGGATCTATTGATAGCTACAAAAACAAATTCTAAAAAATCAACGGTAATTCTTGAAACTTGTACTTTATTATACTAAAATTGAGAGAACTACATATAAAACTGTATACTCAAAAAAATTCTAACGCTTCTGAGAAAAAAGGTTTAAATTTTTAAAAAACATGTATTTATTTTTTTTTTTAGTTTTGAATTTGTATAGGGTTTGTTAGAGCAGGAACTGTATTTTAATTGAAACTTCTTAAAAGTAAATAAATAAACACATATATACATATGTATGTAGGTATGTAAATAGGTTCGATTTCAGAAATTTTCAAGACGGTACTTAGGGAGGCTAAGCACAAAGTGTATACCAAATTTGGTCGAGATCGGTCAAGTAGTTTTTGAGGTACCCATATATTATATAAGTGGGCGGTGCCACCCCCATTTTCATTAAATTTCTTGAATATCCACTTTTTTGCTAAAGAGCGATTATATACATACATATATCAATTTTGAATAAATATTGTTGCATTCCTTAGCCACACTCTCTGCTCACAAAATCTGAAAGTCCGGTACATAAACAATATATAAATTCATCGTCGTATTTAAGAAAAGTCCCTAACTTTGACAATTTTTATGCGATTGCAATAAATGAGGTATCAGTTCATTTGAAAATAGGTTTAATTTTAGATAGTACCACATATTTTGAAATTGTGGAAATAAGTGATGGTCAAAACTTAAAAAAATAAGATTTTTTTTACTTTTTTTAATTTGCTTGATGAAGAATCCCGAAAATCAAAGTCTGACAATATATTATTATACATCATTTTAAAGACCTATACATCATCTTCTCACAACATGTTCGATCTTTAAATTCTAATGAAAAATAGTCATTAACAAATTGGTAAATCTACGAAATCGTATTTTCTGGCCTAAAATGACAAGTCGCGACCTTTTGGCCTTAATATCTTACACATGACTGTATGACTTTATATTCACCGGTTTATTCGATATTCAAAAAATCAAGAATTAAAAAAAACCGCCCTAAACCCATTACTCCTCTTTAAAATTAGCAAACTCTTTTATGAACTCTATTAGTTTGTCGAGTGAAAGTTAATGTATTTGGTCCATTCTCATTACATTCGACAAAAAACTGCGCCATCTCGGTCTGGTGAAGGGCGGCCAGCTACCGAGAAAACACTCTGAGGATAGTCTTAATTTTCCAAACAAATAAACGCAGGACCACATGTGTATCAGTCGCGTGTCTCATTCACCTTTCCGTCTGAGAAAAAATACTTGGTTGCAGGTGTCACTATTATATCAACGGTTCTCATGACCATTATGCATGAGATACATGATGTACCAGAGTTTAAACAAGGTTCCTTTTTGCCACGGAGTTCAATTTTAATTTAAATTCCTTTGCAATACCTGAAGAACTACGAACGGCTTCGAAGGTATTTATAGCACCTGGCTGCCACTACCAACTCTTATTTGTTGTCCGTCAAACTTCAGCTTCAGTTGCGATTTCAGTGTTGGAGTCTAAAGTCTTTATGGAAAGTGTCAACCGAGCTCCCCAAGAGAATGTCTGGGTCTAACTACTATCCCTGCGGAAGCACGGCACATAAAGTCAATATCAGCAAAGACTCCCATTGTGTAATCTTCTGCTTCCCGAACGACTTCAATATTTGTTCAAATGTCGTGTAGAACTATTTCAAACGATTTTCCACTTTGTCCACTGACAACGCCTTACCTTGAATGTTGGACACAGGAGGCACGGTTAATATTGATCGTTATTGATCGAATGGAGTTGCTCACTTGTACTTGCAACAACAACAATAAATAGTTTTTATGTATAAATACACTTATACTTGTTTATAAATAAGTAAATACATATATGATTTTCCACATGCCTTCGCATTGCATAAACCAAACAAAACTTAACCTCCATCCCTTTTTCAAAGCATAAATTTTTTTTCAGAGCTTCTACGTTTTTATTATTATGGTAACGATAAAAATCGAACATGCTGCTACGAGTATGGAATTAAAAAAAAAAGAAAAAAAACAGAAGGTGAGTAAAAAACATAAAATGAAAGATAATATGTAGAAGAGAGCGACAGCGCCGCGATAGTCCGAACAGGCATTGAAAAATAACATTGCGGTAATTTTGTATAGCTGTAAAAAAAAAATATGAAAAAAAAAAACTATTCGTGAACGTAATGATGAAAAAGTATGAACAGAACAACATTTCAGAAAAAGTACCCCTAACGTAATAAACGGAAATTCACATAAAAAGTTGTAATATTACGTGCGACGTAAATGCGTTATGGGCAGCAGGCAGCCGGGCAGCGGGCAGCCGGGCAGCAAGGTAAAGTAGAAAAAAAAGTGCTTTGAAAATTTGCGGAAAAAGTGGCTGGCAAAAAAAGTGAATCAAATAAGGCAAAATAAAAACTCGAAATTGACGCAGAGATGGAGATAGAGGCCAGTGTTCTGAAATGACTTAACTGTCGATTGGCTAGCTAGCTAGCTGGCTATCTGGTTGGACGCTGCTTGCTACAAAGGCGCGAAGTAGATCTGGTTTGAATGGCGTTTTTGCCTTCATACATTTTTTTTATGCTTTATAATTATTTTATTACTTTTTTCTTTTTTTTTCAACTATAGTAAATATCCATTAGCTCGTAATTTAAAATAAAATATAAGTGAAAAACGGCCATAGGTAGAAGACGGAAACTAAATCCCAACATTTGCCGCAGAATTTATTTATAAATCCTTTGTTAGCCGAAGTTTGGGTTAAGCGATTTACCTGTATCTACTCTCTAAAGTGCAGAGATCTACTTAAGTGATGCATTTGGAGCCACGCATTCTTGACAGTTTTCTACTGAAAGAGATATTCAAAGATAAGGCATTCGAGTATATTACCAAATTTTGACTTTACTTCCTCCAAAACTGCTAGATTATTGTGCTGAAATCAGAGTTGCTGAAAAAAAAACGTCGGCTTTAAGGCTGAGATCTATGGTATGATGGACGCTGGAGAACCTTGTAACTATCACGTTGAACTCAAAAAACTGCGCTGGACTCAGGTCGAACGCTGCAGCAAATAACTAAATAGCGCAGACTTCGACTCATTTGGATCGCAAGGCACAGGAACATAGAGAGCAACTACATGGCAGACGAAATGCAACCAAGCAAGTTCTTTCCAGTAAAGAACGCCTTAGTCTTCCTCGCGTCTCATGCAAACTGCTGCTTAGGTTAGGTTAGGTTAAGTTTGGTTAGGTTAGGTTAAGGAATCACTTAGACAGACGTGAGAGTTGGCACTTAGCCAGTTGCACGCGATCCACCAGACCGACCAGAGAGATTTTGCAACTTTGCATGTCAGGGCCACCTAGCATTTGCTAAGCGATTTCTAATGGAGTAGTCCACAGGTTGCCACAGCAAATCCTAAACTCTTCCAGTCCGGAGAGAGATGAACTCAATTAGGCTCTGCTTAACCTTCCCTTAAAAAGTCACGGACCAATTTGACCTATGTACCAGGGTTCTATGAAATGTTAGCTCTGCCCTATCACGGTCAAAACTTCAACTATCCCGGCGTTTCGACTCTAATTTGGGAGTTAAATTTTTCTAATAGTTTAGGTGAAATACTCTGCTGTATTTTTTTTTATGTACATACATACATACTAGATATGCTATCCAGCAAAGCCGAAAGTTTTTAGACGCATGTCTGTATCCTATTGGTTCTAACGAAAAAATTTACTAAGCACATATAAATCGCATAAAAATTATAAAAAGTACCGTGACACAATATGTAAGTATCAATGTTACCATAAACGAAAAAAACTTAGGCATAGCCAATATGACAAAATGGCATAAATACACATACATATGTACATGTGTACATTAGGGTGGTCATTTTTTTTTCAGCCACTCGTATTTTTTTTTGTTTTTGAAATTGGTTAACTGCTAGAGCTTTGAAGTTTCCCATGTATGTATATTAAATGAAGAAAATGTATTTTTTCGTAGAATTGCTATAAAATCGATAAAAACCAACATATTTCGAGAGAATAAGAAAATACGCCTTCAGAAATCTTGTAAAAATAAAATTATAATGATTGCAATATTACTAACCATATTTTCATAACCCTGAATCTTACAAAAATGAGTTATTTTTTTGTCTTCGTAACCACATCACGCAAAAAAAAAAACTATTGAAGTGAAAAGGCAACATCATTTTTCGAGAATTTCTGAAGAGAATTTAATTCGATCAAAAATTCTTTATTTTTAACAATTTTGTAGCAATTCTACACCAGTTCGGTAATTTAAAAAAATAAAAAAATACGGGTATTTTCTTACTTTTCCATTTTTTAGAATTATGGTTGGTGGCAGCAGGAAAATGCGAAAAAATCATTTTCCTGGGCATTCTTGGACCCTCTTAATGTGCATACGTAGGTACATATGCATACCAAACATAAATATACATACATATGTATGTGTAATGTAGTAAAGTTAAACATATAATATTTACACTCACAAATCGCTTTTACACTCAAATCATCGCTTTTGTTAATACATACTTTCGGTTTATTTGAGTTTGCTGCCGTGGCGCTAAGTTTTTAGCAATATTTTATGTTTATGCTTTTCGAGAGAATTTTTGTTTCTTGGATAGCTTTTTTTATTGATATGGAAATGGACGCNTTTTAGCAATATTTTATGTTTATGCTTTTCGAGAGAATTTTTGTTTCTTGGATAGCTTTTTTTATTGATATGGAAATGGACGCTTGATCATTTCCTGATGTTCGATCTACTAAGTATGTATGTACATACATACACATTAGACTGCATCACTCCCCATACAAAAAAAAATCGGTACTATTTTTCCATTGGAATTATAAAATCTATTATATATTAAGACGTCCACCAAAATATTTCGGAAAAATATTAAAATTTAAGTGAGCTGGACTGATTTGAAAATACCTCCAAAAATGGAGTTTTTTATGAATAAAAATTGTTTCTTAAAGATTTTTTTTGAAAAAATCTCCTAAAATGACAAAACGGTTTAAGCTTAAAATATT